ATGCTGTGATTGGAGTTTGGAAGGTATGGAAAAGCGAGACAATGCAGTAGAAGTCGTATTCTAAGAATGTAGCTATTATTTTTTAACGATTTTTAGGTCATTTAATTGAGAGGAAAATGAAATAATTTTTTGTGTAAGTCTATCTTCTTTTTGTCTATGTTTTGGTTAGTATGGGTTAGTTAGAATTCCTTGTGTGATCTGTGAAACAATGTTATGTAACATAAGGATCAGCGAGTTAGGCATGACTTTATCCAAGGTTTTCTATTGTTTAATCCTTCATTTCTCACACCTAATAACTCCATCTCAACCTCTTCATAATTCTGGAATGATTTTGCTGGCTCTATTCGTACATTTTGTAAACTAAAAACTACTTTTTTTAGCATCAATTCCAGAAATCACAAAGAATATTGTAAAATCAGATAATATAAATGTTTTCTATACCAATAAACTTTGGGGATCATTCAAAATCAGGTAATATAGATTTGACCTATGCCACTGTGTTAAAGGGAAACTTTGAGGATCATTCCAAATCAAGTAATATAAATGTTTTCTATACTTTTGTGTTAAAGCTAACCTTTGGGGATCATTCTAAATTAGGTAATACAGATATTTTCCTATAATCCTGTGTTAAAGCTCAACTTTGGGGATCATTCCAAATCAGGTAATACAGATATTTTCCTATAATCCTGTGTTAAAGCTAACCTTTGGGGATCATTCCAAATCAGGTAATATAGATATTTTCCTATAATCCTGTGTTAAAGCTCAACTTTGGGGATCATTTCAAATCAGGTAATACAGATATTTTTCTAGACTCCTGTGTTAAAGCTAAACTTTGGGGATCATTCCAAATCAGATAATACAGATATTTTCCTATAATCCTGTGTTAAAGGTAAACTTTGAGGATCATTCCAAATCAGGTAATGCAGATATTTTCATATAATCCTGTGTTAAAGGTAAACTTTGAGGATCATTCCAAATCAGGTAATGCAGATATTTTTCTATACTCCTGCGTTAAAGTCCAACTTTGGGGATCATTCCGAATTAGGGAATGCAGATATTTTCATATAATCCTGTGTTAAAGGTAAACTTTGAGGATCATTCCAAATCAGGTAATGCAGATATTTTTCTATACTCCTGCGTTAAAGTCCAACTTTGGGGATCATTCCGAATTAGGGAATGCAGATATTTTTCTAGACTCCTGCGTTAAAGTCCAACTTTGGAGTATTTTACTACGGACATTCATGGCGTGTACAACTTGACTGTTATTTTACTATAAAGATGATCTATTATATGTGTGTTTCTCTCTTTCTGTGTATTACCATCCATCACACAGAGTTGGCTGGCTCGATTGCCGTAATTTTTTGTTTGTTAACTAGAAACGGTGTGAACATGGGCTATTTTGCTTAAGGACTTTTGCCCGAGAAGGAGGATAAAAAACACAGTGAAATAGGGCAATATCCACTTTTTTTTATTAACTTCTGGCTTTGAATTTGAAGACACAAGTACTTAATCAGTTAAACGAGTCAATTATTACCTTCCACAAAGCAGGGCAAGCAGTTAGCATCTAATAAGGTCACCAGGGTATTCTTTGATAGATTGTTTAAGTAGAGTATTCATGATGAAACTTAGTTGAATGGACGGCAACTGCCCAGTTGTAGGAACACAAGTGTTTCGAAAGTAATCTGCCTTTCCTCAGTTTCATCAAGGTCATCAGGTAACAAAGTTAAGAAGGAAGGGGAACATTATCTACTATTGCCCGTTGTACAATCTTTACTTCCTAAACCGGTACCTTTAGCTAGTTATATATAACAGATTTTTTTTTTAGTCCCGAGGCCGCGTACGACCCCGTTGGGACACCTTAGATGCTGATGCATCACCGGTGATTCTCGGGCAGATTTATGCTGTGACGCCCACTTCCCCTCCTGGTATCCAGCCGTCTCTAATTCAACAATGAAAGACTAGCAAAGTCAAAACCACCCAACGTCAAATGTTGATGTAAAAAATACGACATTAATTTCCAAATTTCGTAAATCTTTTGTTAAAAACGAAGGTCAACTTGGAATATTTGGTGCTATAATTATTATTAGTTATTGATCCTTGTTAGATAGGATAAAAATTTAGAGAAAGTGCCAAAAAGGTTGTATATAACACAAAGAGCCTTGTATTTAATTACTTAAATACTCCTGTTTTATGTTAACTACGTTATTTTATTTCTTTATTCAGGGAAGAAGAAGATAACATACAAATCATCTTTCCAACACCAGAGAAAAAGTATTCTTGGGAAACAGCTTTTAACGAGGCCAAGCATAAACTAGGTTAGTTTTTATTTAATGAAATATTTCTAATATGTAATTATCATTATCAAAACCTGCTGTGATACAGAAGTAAAGAACTAACATATAAATACCGCAGACGCTTCCAGTTCCACGAGTTTTTCTCGTACTACTGTTGTTGTTTTTCTATATGTTTCGTAACCCATGACCTATTCCATTTTTCGTTATAGTGTGCTCATTATACAATATGTCTGAATTCATAGTAACACACATAGTAATTTGCAGTATATTTTAATTTTAGGAGTGTGACAAGCAGTATTACATGTACTAAGATAATTCTATAGTCTGTGAGTCCCTTGGGGCCAAACTGACTTGAAGAACATAATGTCATAAATCAATAGAGAAAACAAAACTAAAACCTATAATGATTAGAATACAATAAATCATCTTTCGAATACTTGGAACGTGAGGAAGAATCTTCAAAAGTGTAACATGAATTCAAAAATATTTAAAGTTACTTTAATCATAATGACCAATAAGATTTCATGAAACTAATAGATGTATGTTTTACGCACAGTACAAAAAAACTGCTTTGAAAGGACAAATTTCTAGATTAACTTCTTATCTAGAAAGTGTTTATGTAAATTCCTGCTTTGTTATATTTGTTAAACTGATTACTTACTCGGATAATTGACTAGGTGGACAACGCTTGGGTAAAAGAATAAGACTAGATGGATAATGCCTGGAAAAAAGGTTTGTTTTTACAACTACAGAACTAACAACTTCGGTAACTGACGAGAAGGGCAACATTTGGATACTTGTGTTCTTACATATCTCTATAGAATTGACATCTTCGGTAACTGACGAGAAGGGCAACATTTGGATACTTGTGTTCTTACATACATGTATCTCTATAGAACTGATATCTTCGATAACTGACTAGATAGACAACGTTTGAGTACATTCTTGTGCTCTTATAACTACTGGATTGGAAACAAGCTAATAACTGACTAGATGGATAACGTTTGGGTACATTCTTGTGTTCATATAACTACTGGATTGGAAACAAGCTAAGAATTGGCTAGATGGATAACGTTTGTTACATTATTGTGTTCTTATAACTACTGGATTGGAAACAAGCTAGTAACTGGCAAGATGGATAACGTTTGGATACATTCTAGTGTTATTGTAACTACTGGATTGAAATCAAGCTAATAACTGACTAGGTGGATAACGTTTGGGTACATTATTGTGTTCTTATAACTATTGGATTGGAAACAAGCTAATAACTGACTAGGTGGATAACGTTTGGGTACATTCTTGTTTTCTTATAACTACTTGATTGGAAACAAGCTAAGATGAAGACCGAACAAAAAGGATGTTGCTTTAGATCGTTAATATATCATTAATCTGTGAAACTGAAGACCTGAAAAAAAAGTTGGCTACCAGCACAGACGAGGTTTGAAGATCCATGGGTCTTCTTGCACAGGGGAGTTGACTATCAGTATGGACGAGGTTTGAAGATCCATGGGTCTTCTTGCACAGGAGAATTGACTATTAGTATGGACGAGGTTTGAAGATCCATGGGTCTTCTTGCACAGGGGAATTGACTATTAGTATGGACGAGGTTTGAAGATCCATGGGTCTTCTTGCACAGGGGAATTGACTATTAGTATGGACGAGGTTTCAAGATCCATGGATCTTTTTGCACAGGAGAGTTGACTATCAGTATGGACGAGGTTTG